ATTATTTCATAAATTCTCCATTTAGTATGTGGAAATTTAGTTACAGCTTTAAAGCTAATAAAATCTGAACTAAATGTAAGCGGCCAGTGATCACTACCTCTGAAATGGACTTAAGATCACTTTCTAATTCAGTTTTCACAGTCGAATCAGAAAAAGAGAGTTTGAACCATTAATATTGTAATGTAAGCCGAAAATTTGATTTTTCAATTTTTGACACATTTCGAGTTTTATCAATTTTTCGATAATCAATGAAAAAAATGTCGGAAAAAATTGAGGACCACCTTTTCTTAATCAGCTTGGGCTCTTCTATTGAATGGATGGTGTATAATAAGTTCAAAAAAAAATTACACTGGATTTTTGAATTAGTTGCACCTTACATTTTATTACAATACCGGTCTACTTTTCCGCCAAAACGTTACAGGTTTATTTTTATTTTTAAAAAAGAAGCCATTAAAAATTCTAATGGAACGAATCGAACTAATTCTTGTCAGTATTTCTAGAAAATAGAATACGTCATGATATAGTTGCTGGTTTTAACAGATCCTTGCATGAAGCTTTACGTTTCCGCTGATGTCGTTGTTTGTAACACAAGAAAGCAAAGAAGAGAAAAAAAGGATACAAAATGACACAATGAATTTTTTGATTAAATAGTCAAATAGAACGGTAGAAAACACTAAAAATTTCCATATAAGCATCCTTCTTTGTTACATACTGATCATATTTAGAATACTAATATATATATATTTACTGCTTTGTTTGTGATGGTTTTTTCACATACTCAATAATATTAGGTTGCTCTTTAACGTATTGATATATTTGCTGTAGTTTTGGATACTTGTCTAAAATAGTTTCATCCGATGTTAACTCTGGTAGATGCGCCGCCATTGAATAGAACATTAGATCAGCACATGTCAATTGTTCTACGGTCCTCGTCCATCATTGTACATTTTAAACAAAATTTCTAAGTTCTGAAATTGTTGAGGTAAATCTTTTGTCAAAAATTCTTGTTTACTGGTTTCTCGCTTTTCTGGATCTTGTACATGAAATACTTTAATCATAAATTGTTGCGACAAATCCATCATTGTATCAACAACAGAATCAACTTGAGCCTGTTGTAAATTTGTTTTTCCAGCAAGATCAAATTCTTTTGCCAAATAGCGTGCGATTGTTAACGATTGAGGTAATTTGGATGGTTTCTGTTGATGTTGGTCAGAAATAATTTCTAAAACTGGCATTTGTTCTAATGGCATTTCATGTTTATGATGTGCTTGGAATTCATCATGACCATATCGGATGTCGTCAAAGGGATGACCAGCTTGAGTAAGAATGAGGCGAATGATTTCTGCACGTCCTCGTGTATCAAAATAGTATAGTTTATATTTCGACATCTTTTTTTTTTATAGGTAACCAACCTTAGCCTTAATTCTGTTCTGTGATGAGTGAAGAAATGGAGAGAAAAGGAGTATTTTTCATATCTGCCAGATAGGACTTTTCTCTGAGTCAGTACTACGATTTTTTTACTGCTTTTTTCATTATTTACATGTGCACACAGCACAAATATTTACTAAAAGCTTATTTCCTTGACTTTGGTCTAGGGTACTATAAAATACTTTTGCGTTCTCTCTATCCGTAAAACATGGAAATGGACAATATGGAATAACAGTTCATAGGCTGCCCAATCAGCACTTGAGCAACATATTAATGCAGAAGAGAAAAAACTGCTATACAACCAAAGATAAAACACAAGTAAAATTCGAACAAACAAAAAGAGTGTTAGGAAAACACTTTTTTCTAAGCTGTGAGATAGATGTCTCACCAAACCGGTCATCTGTATTGAAGAAACTACTAAGCAACAAAGTTTACGTGTAGCTAAAGGTACAAGATTCGTTGCATTAAAAATCAAATCGGGCCAGGTAGATAAAAGTTAAAACAAAAAAAATAAAAAAGTAAAAATTAAATTTCCCACACAATTGTCTCTAGATGGAACTGTAGAAAACGCTTTTTTATACCAAAAATTAGGAAAAAGTAGTCCTAAAGTATTATTCCTAAGTTTTGCTGCGAAAAAAGCGCTTTCTGCATTTCAATCTAGAGACAATTGTGGCAAATTCAATTTACCAACTTTTATCTGCTGGATCCTACTTTGTCCGATTTGATTTTCAAGACGAAAAACTGTATTTATGATTTTTTACCAGGAACCTCAACTTCTAGAAGCACGCCTCTAGCAGATATCTTTTATAGAATTAAATTCTCTACCTATAGTGTGCTACACTCAAGCTTTAGAAAAATTTTTCATGAAAAAATAGGACTTTCTTATATTGTTGGATCACCAAACGGTTTGGGTACTCAGCAAAAACCGGCCAGTTAACCATTACTACTGGTTTGGTGATGCAGATCAGGTATGCACTAGTACCGGTACCTATGATAGGTAGCGGTACTAGTGCATCCCTAATCCTGGTGGGTGATATGATAGTGCTGTTGAGTGAAAATATGGTCAGGAATACGGTCAGATTACTGAATGTGATAAGAACAGGTCACTGGTTCCCGACCAGCCAAGGTTTTCACTAGGTTTCTGGAGCTTTTTGAAAAATAAATATTGCCACGAGATTCAGCGTGGTCGATTACCTATGTTTCCATTCCTTTTCGGAATTACCACGCTTAGAGAACTATTCATCCTGGGCTCTCAGGAAATCCGATACCACACATGAACCAGGGAAAATTAAGAATTCTCTTGGTTCCCGTCTTGGAGAGGATACTTTGGACTATGTATTTATGAAACGACACTGGTAGATTGCTATCTCAGTTCCTGAAGATTTGGACTGGTTTTCCAAAGATCCCGTAGAAAACCGATCTTCTGAATGTTTTAGAGGAACGATTTTGCTTATGACAATATAGCCTAACTGTGCGCTTTCGATTGCTGAAAGTTGCAAGGCTCTATCTTTAATCGCTCTTGAGTTATTCAAAACAAACCAAATCGTATTTTGGGATTGATGGTAACATTAAAGTGTTCATAAGTTCATATTTATAGTTTATTAGTGGTAAATAGATAAGCACTTTGATAATAATTCAACATCAGCTGAGTTTGGAAATTTCTAAATATGTGTATAGATGAACGATATCATCACTATCATCAATCACTTAAATATAACTAGACAATGTAGAATTATATGCCATCATAATACAAAAAAAGCAAATCTTTTGTTTTTTTAGAAGCAAATTATGCAAAATAATATGCATGTAAAAATCGTGAAAGAAGGTGATGTGTTGTCAGTTTTTGTAAATTCCTGTACCATGTTTCTTTCCACTTAAAAGTCGCGACAAGATCGTGTCGCGAGATCTCAGAATGGAAATATGGTTCGAAAAACGGTCATTGAGTAGAACGGACTTTATACGAAGAATAGCACAAAACGGTGACGGTACGATGCCGTTGCAGTTCACTCATACATAAATGTAAGAGCTTACCACTGTTAAAAAAATGATAATTGTGGAGTCTGTTTACTTCAGTTTAGTCCACGATGTTGATTTTGATGATTACTGTGCACAATAATAAATAATGAATAGCTTATTTGTTAGATTCATAACCGTACTTTAATAATCCGGATTTATACCAATAATTTAAATACAAATGAATTAAATGCTGATCAATGGCTGGGTAAAGTTTTAAATTATTGGTTTTTTCCACAGTTTTTCGAGTTTCATATTGAGCTAATTTATTTGATTGATCATTTACACTCAAAAGTGACATATTTCAATCAGAATCTATTATTCATGGAGCTGTTCTATTTTTGCGACAATCCAATGGTGGTATAATAGAACTGCTCTACATCTGCTTATTAATACCAAAACATATCAATAGATGTGAGTTTATTCCAGTTAAAAAGGGCTACTAGCTGTTGTTTTGGGGCACCATCTCGACAATTTGAGATAATCCAAAACGATCGACAAGGTATCACGTGTTCCGATTCGTTCTAAAGCTAATAATGCATTAGCAATAACATATCGATTTGAATCGAAATAAAGCGCATTTTTAAGTGTAGGTATTGCTTGTGCGGCCATTGCACCAATTTTAGCGAGAGACAACGCAGCAGTAAATCTGGCATGATCTGCTTGCTTATTATTTTTATCAAGACTTTGATTAGATAATATATTTGTCAGACACTGAATCACCAAATCAATATTTTGCTGTCCGTTGCTGCATATAGTTCCTAAGGCTTCACAGCAATATTGTTTGACCAACCATGAGTCACTTGATTGTACAATGTTAATGAGTAATGGTAATGCATCAGATGCTGTTTGCCCCATTTCTGACAAAATGAATGCTATACAATAAGCTATTCGTTCATTGTTTTCTTCCTTTTTCAATATTTCCTGTAATTTAGCAACAACATTTTTATCATGTTTACAAGCCGTTAATGCATATGCAGCTTCTAAACAAAAAATTTCCTCATGCTCATATAATCGATTGATTAATACATTGTATTCGTTGCACAATCCTAAATTATACGCCGCATTGAGACGAATTTTTCCGTTTCTATTACTTAATTGAGATTTCCACATAGTCACATCGTTTTCGCTAACTGACTCTGTTGGTTTCACATTTCGACAAATCATCCAATCCCAAACGTGTTTAACTACAGGTTGTAATATACCTGCATCAATTGCATCATAAGTGTCGTTAGTCGGATTATGATTCCATGTCGGTATAACTGGCTCTTCTACTCTGTTAAACAAGAACTTGAACATAAAACGATTCGATCTTTCTGTTGTGTTTCTTGTCCGTCTATGTACAATATCGTAATGAATTAATACAACCGTGCCTGCTTTACAAATTAGGTAAATATCATTTCTTTCATCATTCATTGAATTACTATTATCAAGTGTCTTGTTAGGATGATCTGGATCCATAACATCGTACTGTGTTCGGGGTTTAATAGCAGTTGGACCCATGTCTATAGTAGTATCTTGTGGATAATACATGGCCATTATATAACGTAATTGATGATGACGAAGTGGTTTTGTGTAGCCAAAGTAACTATCTTTATGCCATAGTTGATCTTTTGTTCCTGGTCTCGTTAAATGAGCATTTCTGTGTGGTTGCATTGTGTAATTAAAACCTAATAAACTTTGTAATGCACCTTTAATTATTGGATCGTTGAATACGCATTGAAGTTGAGGAATGCAAGGGAGAATATTATTTCCTGGATTGTGTTCATTTTGTTTTGTTTTAAAAATAGAAAGAACTTCGGTAAATATTGTTGAATGAAAATTAGAATCAAGAGATACAGGATCAAGTACTAAATAACCATTGATCAAAAATTCTTGAACTTGTTTGTCTGTCAGGAGTTGTGGTATTTCCATGTTTGTTTCGTAATAAAATGTTGCCTTACAGGAAATATTGAAAAAGGAAGAAAACAATGAACGAATAGCTTAT